GAGAGAGAGAGAGGAAATCACGTACTACAACGAATTTTTATCGTTCGCAACAGGCGCAAGTCTGTTTTTCGTGAGAAGCAGCTGATAGGTGCGCGCTTTCATACTCGGCGTTTCATTGAAAACGAAGCCGAGCCGCCTGGTAGCAGGTACGAATTATCGTCTGCAACTATGTTCGCCAGAGTAGTCATTAGCGCACGACAACGGGTAATCAGAGAGTACCGCGGCAGTATACGCGCGTCTTCTAGTTACGTTTCCTCCAATAAGTCGGTGCGCGGGCCATCAAAATGATTTGATGACGTGAATACGCTTTGCAATTACCGGCCGATACACGGTATACAGATGAGAATCGTTTTGGACGATTAATCAATGGATAAACATCGCTCGATTATTTTGTTAATGATCACCCTCACCGGATAAACTTTCGATAAACTCGATACGGTGAATTAAACCACAAATTAGAATTCTAGAAAAAAAAACGAAAGAAAAAAAATTAAATACGTCGATAGTACGTCTCACGTATGACTTTCTTGCGATTGCTAATTGTAACATGACACAGTTTCAGCGAGGATAGATATCACGCAAAAATAGGATCAAAATTAATTAAAAAGAAATGTTTCTCTCGTTCCGAAAAATCTGGATCCGGGATAGAACGGAAGAATCTCCTCGGACGAGACGCAACGAGATCGGGCGAGCAAACGATGATAAAAATCGATGCGACGTGAACCGGACGAATCCGTGGATCGTGGCCCAATCATCGGGACTCATCCCGAAATCCCTGTAATTTCGGAAGCTACCGTCTGAAGGCTGAAATGCAGCTAAACACGAGATCCAAGGCGATCGGACGCGTGAGCTTCTGTGCGTGGCATAATCACCGAGATTTCCTCGCGATTTCGTGGAACATCTGGGCAATTTGCCTGCGAGATGAGAGACGCCCTGCGGGATGTCTCACTGCTCGATTCGTCCTTTTTGTCCTTTTTCTTTTCCTACTCTCGCCGCCGGATATACCCGCCGATCGCCCGCCGCCCCGGTTCCTTTATCGCAATAACGGTGAAAATCGCGAATATTTCCGGAATGAATGAATTCTCGACGTGCGGAATGAATTATCGACACCCGTCATGATTCACGCCTGCCTGCGGTAATGATTCCTTCGCGCCTCCAGTTCCCCCCCCCGTTCTCGGTTGAAAAAAAAATTGAGAATGTGTTCGCATAATTTCCGATGAAATCATGCAAGTGGCGATTTATACAGGTTATTATCTTTACTCGAAACATCCTGCGAGCAATCGCTTAACCGACGTAAATCAACCGAAAGGAATTTAATTATTAAAGTCGATGACTATTAATTTCTCCCGTTTCCTTCAATGTGATCGTAATGCTCCCATTACAACCTACACTCCTACAGAATTTATTGTAATTATGAGACATATATCTATGTTCCGAGTAAAGACAGAAAATTTCTATCACCCCCTAGCGTACACGCCCTAGCGTATGTATAAAACGCGACACTTCTTAATTCCTAAATGTATACCTATATATACTCGCGGTAAGTAGTTGAATTATCATAGTTCGAGATTATAGGTTCGCACTATACTTATAAATAATATTATTAATTTTCCGACACGTGGAACGCTCTATGTCTCTTTTAATCAGTAGCCTCTAGCCATCACCTGTGCGATTTCGATTTCGATGGTCGTGGCGCGCGGCAACGAGAAGGGGATCCTAGATTCTATACGAGACGAGCGTCTCGTAGAAAATGTTCTCGCGGAAAAGTGTCACGTAATAGACAGCGCAGACTTCTCGTGTTTATATGAGCCCGCGAGCGAAGGATGCGAAATTCAATCGAGCGGAAAGGAAACGACCGGTACACGGCGTATGACATGATCGACGTTATGTAAAATATCACGAGCTAATAATTATTTGTCATTACCGCCGCGCCGGACCGGTCAATTAGTTACGGATAATCGTATTCGTAATACGCGACTGTTGGGGAGAGCGCAGTCACCTATATAAAACGAGATTCTATCTCCATGTCGGAGATATCCACGACGGCGACGGCGACGGCGCGGTCGCCGCGGATTCTGATCGTCTCGTAATAGATATTAATAGCTCTCGTCACGACGGCTCGTGCAGGTAGCAATCCAACGGAAAATCACACATAATGCCGCGAGATACATAATGCAATTAATCCCCATCGTGCGTCGTTATGTCGGCTAATCTGCCTCGGATGCAAAACTAATTAAGGTAATGAACGCGCGCGTTTTTACAAGACCGCCTGGGCTATTTCGTAGAACGGTTTCTGCGATTTTCTCACGGATGCGATACGAGGTCAGATTGGTAACCGCTATTCCCCAACGCCATTAAAAGACAACTAAACGATTTTTTTTCTTCCATTACATCGTGTTCCTAAGTAATAAATCGCGTACTCAAGGGAGATAATAATTACAGTTGCAATTACATGCATTTACTCCGTACTAACTGTCCAAAGGTTTAGATATGCATTTGATTAGGTAAGTTAGGAAAAAGAGAAAAAGAGAAGGAAGTGTCATTCATTAAAATCCGTGGAGTTTATATTTAGCTTCTTAAGAGCACTTAAGAAATTAATATATTATGCAATAATAATCTAGTATAAAATCTCAAAATATCGATTTAAAACGAGAATTAAATAATTACAGATAATTTTACGTTCAAGTTCCCTTAAAGAGGCTAACAATCAGCTCATAAAATAATAAATGACAATGAAAAATTTTTTCCAAATACATTATAAATATAAACATTTTTATAACAAGTTTAAATCGAATTATTGTACATAATAATCATTGTAATCACTACCTGTAATCGTTGACAATAACGAAACACGACATAATAATTCTCCAATAAAAGAATTAGAAGTTATCATAAAATTATTGAGGAGATAATACCTACATATTCAATGATTATCATGGATAAATATTAAAAATGACTAGTTAATTTTATTACATTACGACTTGGTACTATTAAAGATTCCCTGGTTAATAATAAGTATCTGAACTGACCGAACGTCGAAGCTCACACTCCGTTAACTTGAGTTTATCGCAATAGCAGAATCAGATAACTTGCACGCGCAAATAGGCCCGCGGCTACGTGCGGCCTTGGTTCCTTTTTCTTGTGTTAATGATTACCTTCCTTTTTGTTTTTAGGGAGGAGCTCGCCATGAAGATAGGCCTGACGGAGGCACGGATACAGGTCAGTGGAATCTCTTAACGTCTTTTTACGTAAAACGAAATAGTGAATAACGCGTCATAAATAAATTATAAACTCATTTCCGATGCGTTCGGTAAAATCTATTCAGCCTCCCAATATATGATACATAATATACGCAGCATGTTACATGACCCTTTTCTCTTCTTCACGATTCTTCAACTTCTTTTCTCAATTAATATTTCGCCGGACATAGGGGTTTATTTTATAAAGTACAAGGAACAACAGAGAGAACAATTAAAAGTAATAAAAAGATCAAAATGGAGCTTATAAATTTGCTCAAATTGGAAAATATTAGGCTCGATTAGATATCTTAAATGGAGCGGATAAATAAAATCCGATGCTGTCTGGATAAAAATAATACAAGCGTGTCAAAGTAAAATTGATTAGTTATCTCTGATCACATATATTGGCGCATATTATGGCATAACTTTTAAATTACTTTAATAATATAGCTGCGCGCGTCAAAGTTTGTCGGTTAGAAAAATGAGGCAATAATTAGCAATAATAATGTGGTTAGGCGTCTTCTTTGGCGCGAAGGCGAAAATATCGCGCGTCTCTTGCGTAACGACAATTATCTTGTATCCTCTGACATTTCGTTTGGATAATAGTTTCGAAGCCCGCGAGCGCGCGCGAAGAATTACTTAAGTTCTCCGTGCGGTCACGTATCCCCGCCTGTAATTTACCTACCCGTATGGCGAAATGCGATACCCTTCGAGCAATATACATATCATGAGTCTTTAGTTATTTGCTCAACTCTTTTCAGAGCGGCCGTTATTACTAAAAAAATTATTGGACACGCGATTGTCTATTGGAACATTTAAATAATTATAATGTCTCGTCATTACCAACCAAATTACAATGTTGAAGACAATTATCTATCAGACTATGTAAAGATTGCCACTTACGTGACGATAAAGAAATCATTTAACTATATAGACAATTATTTTGTGGTAAAAATAAACTCCGCTGTTATCGTGATTTTTATTGACGTCAGTAAATACAAAGTGACTAATCATTCATTAATTATTTACTCGATTTGTAGAAGAAAAGAGCTTGAACAATTATTGCTAGGAATAATTATTGTACGAAATAAACCACGGATGATAGTAGCATCATAAATCTCATAGCGAGCACAAAGAAATTATCTTTTGCGCAATTTGTAACTTGAGTAATACCATAAATCGATCATTAAAGACATTTGCGATTAATCAACAAATATGCATATCATCAGCAATAAACCTCAATAATAATGTTCAACTCTTACGTTTAAACGATAATCACATGATCCGAATACATTTGAATATTTGAATATCAAATGTTAGATTATTGCTCACAATTCTTACTCGTTTTTGTCACGTCTGATTATTGCCATCGATGATCAGAATAATATGTTTCGTTTTTTTTTTTGCGTACGAGTAATTATAGAAACTTGCAAAAAATGATAGAATATTGCAGCAAATCACGTGCTTTATGAAACAAAATAACTAGAAAGATTAATATGAATTTTGGAATTTCTCTTCTTCAATAACTCATATCATATGCCATCATAAATGTAATCATATAATGATAGCTTGTTACATCAAATAGTTAGGAATATTACATATTGAAATTGCATACAATACATTTGAAATGTTTTCGAACTCTAGAGAGAGTATCATTCAGGATTTCTTAAACCTCAATATTTAACAAAATGTACTGGTAGGTCGTGAAAAATTTAAGATAATAATTTAAACTTTAGATATAGATATCGCTGAATACTCATTATTTATATTGATTTTTTACTTCCTAATTTTTCAATTTTCCTGATTTTCGCGGATATAAACGTTCGACTTGCGTTATACTTGCGTTTACTCGAAGGATGCACGTTTTCTGCGTGACGACGATGGTTTCTTGCCGAGGAGAGCGTGTCCGTATGCCATCGTTGCGTGAACAGCTGGCTAATTTGCTCAATTAGTTTAATTTATTCCCGGTACTTACTTACTTACTCTTTTTCTTCCCCTCTTTCCCTTCCCCCCCTCCCTTTGGCCCACGCGTATTTTCTTCTCGCTTCGTCCTTTCACTCTCCATCCCTTGCTGACTCCGGGCACGCATACTCGCGCGCCCCTATGCGATCTTCTTGTTATTTTCCCCCGCATCGCGAAGGCACAACGCTTTAATGTTAACCCGGCAACTTTTCATTATACTTGCAAATCCGTCACCGACCACCGCAAATCGCCGATTACTGTTCCCCCGGCCGGGAATTACCCGCGACGACACGCACGCGATGAGAACCACTGCTCCACTCGAAGAATGACACGCCTGCCATAACTCCTCACGATGCCGTTAATAATTTTCAGGAATCCCTGAACCTGTACAAAGAGACCTTGCGCCGTTCCTCTCGCTCGCCACTGCGGAATGATCGGCTTTGTAAACCTGCGCTCCTTTTCAATCGCGATAGGTGTCAATTGCCCTCACCGGGCCGTAACGGGGCGAAATTATGCATGTTGGTTTAAGAAAATATTTCGAGGAATTAGGTGCTCTTATTCAATCGTGATGACTTTAGCGTTTTAGCATGCAGCCGTCTTCTCAGAGATATGAAATCCTTTAGATTTCAAGACACTGCATTAAATAACTCTGAGTCTTCTTTTATTTTCAGTATCAAATAAATTATTATTTATATTTCAAATTTACGTTTCAAATCATATTTTAACAGTGATGTATTAAATAATTGCATAATTTAAAGAGTACTAATTTCGGCAAATTCGCCATCTATTGACAGATATTAGAAATCCATTTATAAAGTATGAGTAAATGAGATAACGACTTAAGTGAACGCCACAAATTTCCGTCTGTTCGTCTTAACGCGCGAAAATTAGGTTGTCGAGCGATTCAGTTGCCGTTTTGTCCATCAGCCATCATTAATATGCATGACAAATATATCGTGGAGAATGAGGTGCGATTTTTTTCGACGCCCGAAATTTCACCCAAACGCATCAACGCACAAAAATTGGGATACGTGACCTATCATCGGCGACCATTAATAATTCATGAAACGCACAGTATGAACATAAAATAGCGCCTTCTTAGCGCAGATGCTTTAAAGACTTCGATTCGTATTTATAAGGCGTATTATAATGTTAAATAAAAATAATTAATAAATGTAAATTTCGAAACTGCGACAAATATTAGACCTAAGAATAGAAGTGTTAAGAAGAGAAAAGATAATTTTGACGGGTTAATTGATTATTTAATATCAGCCATGCGAATATAATATGAAATTACTTAATTACTACGCGTAAAAGTCGATACGTCGACAGATATTAATTAACGTAAAAGGATAAATTAGATTTAAAAAATAATGTCCGACCGGATAGTTGCGGATCACCGCTAAACCTAATCGCGCGTCTGCGGATTTTCCAGAAATAGAAACGTTGCGTATTACACGTTTTTATCAGCTTCTTAAGTAAGCTTATTAATTCAAAATAAAATCTGTCCGATATGCTCAATCGTGAGCTCTAACGTTTTTTCCTATCGGAAAAAAAGATACTCTATGTTTCATTCATTTAAAATTAAAATTAAAAGTTTATATGTGAAAATATTTTTGCAACGCAAAAAGTTTAAGAAATATTAATTCTCAAGCTAATATGATTTCTCGGCTTTCAATTCGATTATTAATCGAGTGTGCGAGTTTTGTGCACGACTCAATGAATAATGAATCGTTCCTTCCCCGCAAGGCTCGTTTGCCGACGAAACCTGTCGTTCGCATGAATAACAGATTGCTATTAGGCAAAGTGATTATCAGTTGTTGCAACGTCGGCTATTAATTATTTTTACGATTTCGCCGAGTGTGACGAGATAATCGACAAGTTGCGAACTTCTGCTATGAGCAAGAAAATTCTTGCGCAAGCGAAACTGGAATTGCAGATAAAAATATCATCACACGTTTCGCTCGACATCTGTCTCTCGAGACGACGTATACACGCGAGATTTCGCATTTCTCCGAATCGATTTCGCGACAAATTCGGTTGCCGACGAACGAACGGAGTAATCCCACTTGACGTGTATATTCTCAAGCTTGTAATTTTTTATATCTTTAATTTTTTCGTCTATCTGTTTTTCCTTCAAGATTCAACATTTTGAAAATAATTTTCTTCTTGAAAAAATTCCTTATTACTTTCTATCTAGCTCTTACTCGTTAAATATTTTTTACTTAAATATTCCGGATAATCGCGACAAATAAATAATTCCTTCTCCTTTCCCGGTACTCGTTACGATCATCTTGAGATGCAATAATATAGAGCAGTTTCTGTTCTTGTTTACCGACTCAAATTTTAGAGAATGATATGGCAATCTTATGTATACACATTAGACATATTTTCGAACAAGTGACCTTGGAGTTTGGTGATTGCTATACTAGCTATATACTAGCTTTATATATGTAATCACAAAATACGTAATTACAAACATAAAAACATGCCGAACATTTTATTCTTTTTGGTATGAAATCGAAACAAAAATAAACTTAATGTTTAAAACATGTGTTCTGTGTGTCTTGAAACAAACTGAGTTCCTGAATTAAATCGCAATTGAGTTCCTCAATTAAATCGCAATTACAAATATGATGTAACGAGTATTAAATTGACTCACAGGATCTATTTGTTAAATCGTGTTATGGCCTCAAGACTAGTTTCAGTCGAGTTCTTTGGTAAAAATACTACGATTGAAGAAGCCAAAGAACGGCCAAGAAAGTATCTATGTAGTATGTCGAACGCGCGAGGGAAATCTTTTTCGTTGGTTAAAAAGAGAGAGAAAGAGACGAAAAGATTGAAGCGAAGAAGCAGAAGAAATGAACGTACTCGCCGTTCGTGTAATTAATGCGGCACGATTAAGTACGAAACGACTAGGTTCTGGCGGCTACGTGGTTGCGTTTTGTTTTAAAAGCCGAGAGTCGGAGATGTTTAGCGCCCTGCTGGGGGCAATCCTGTTCGCTGTGGGGGGTCCTGGCACCCGCGACCCCCCTTCCCCACTCTACCCTAACGATGCCGGGAGTCTCTAATCTCTCGTACGTCTAGGCAAGATTCCGAAGCGAGCGGATACACGCGGAACGCGCACATTGAGTTTGGATGCCTCCTTCCCCCCCCTGGAACAACAAAAATCGAAATATAAATATGAGGGTTGTAATCGATTATTGCGCAATCGTAAATCTCGCTCTTTAACTGCTCGTAGATTCGCCACTTGGCAGAATGATTGATTCAAATAATATTGTTGGGAGCACACAACGTCCAATTCGAATGATTAAAATTTATCAATTATGCACACGATTAATTAAATAATTAAATATAATTTTTAATAATAATTAAATAATTAAATATAATTTTTCAACAAAAATTTCAATAAGAATGAGTTTTAATATTTCAGAGGGAGAAAAATAGCAATTTTTTTTTTTATTGATGCAAAATGCGGCAATCGATAATCTTTTAATCTTTTAGACGTCAATAAGCAAGTGTCAAACTTAATAAGGATTGAGAAACCTGTTCTCAACTATGTTTAAAATCAGATAGTCCAAGTATCATCTCAAGTAATTCCATTATTGCGTCTCCTTATCTCCTTTCGGAAATGATTGCACGAACAATCTCAGATACGAATATCGGATCGGACAGAATCTCAGATCGAGCAAACCGATCAAAATCATTTTCTCGACAATGAGCTACCAGAATAGGTCGAATCCCATGGGACGCATGCAGTCGCTGCCGCCGCCACCGTCGCCGCCGCCGCCGCCGCCGCTCCGTCGATGAACCGGTGATCATCAAATCGCAAAGTCATTCAGGCATATGTCTATCCTCATCCGTGCGATGACGAGGCCGCACCGTGACGAACCGTATTGGGAGTGTCTACATCGCTCGGCGGTACTTTTGACTTCCAAATCCGTGATGCTGCCGAGTATTCGGAGTCGCGGCAACGTGGAAAACAAAATCGTATTCGACGCGAGAATATCACGCATATCGATGGAAAACGTGGAACGAGACGAATCTCTCCTCGTACATGCGAAAAAATGAAAAGTGAACTATGTAAAATCTCGTCTGTTACTCGTCCTCGTCGAGAAAGAGAAAAGGCACTATCACTTCTTCAATTCTTAACGTAACCTGTCGTATTCAGCGCGAAAAGAATAAAGACAGAAATTTATTGAGGACGATGATAAATATAAAAATAGAAAAGATATATAGAGAGAATAATATAAAATCATCATATAAAAATTATCAATTTAAGAGAAAAAGTAAACTAATAATAATTATATTATAATTATATAAATTATACGCTATTCTTATATCTTGATTTGCGTGTGTGTAAAATAAATAAGGATCATAAATTCAATTATGTATTAATAAAAGATTGGGAAAATAAATAGTTAGTGACTAGGAATCATCGCGATTATGCAAGTGTCGCAATAATAAATGAAAGATCTGAATTCAAGACCGGTCGGTTTCCAGTTAATTTTTCCGTTTTTTAATTTGTCATCGAGATATTAAGACGAGATATTGAGACGAGATATTTATATTATCTTCTGTGTTTGACCTATTCTTATGCTAAACTTGCTTTTTTAAACTTTTTTTAGATGATCGCTTTATTATGTATGATCATCCTATAAAAGTTATTGAAAATGTATCATAAATGTATTTTAAATAAAATGTATATTAAATGTATATTAAATAAATCATTACTATCAGAGTCTTCTTTGACTTTGAATTTTAATTTTTTTTAATATTCTCTTGTGAATTTAATTTGTGAAATTGAGATTGTCTATTCTGTTATAGCTTTAAATTTAATTTAGTGTCCAGTTTTTCCATCAGGAAGTCAGAATGATTTATTAATTTTTCCTAAAGTGTAGAAACATTATTATAAAAAGTATATAATCGAAAAGCGAACAGATAACATAAAAAAGATATACTGCACAGAAGTTTCGAAGAACGAAATTGTATTTCATATAGCAATTGTATTTCATGAATGATAAATTGAAATTCAATCTACAAATCGCTCGTCAGAAATGGCAGTCAGAGAGCGAGGAAACTTTGTAGAAAATAGAGAACCGTTCGCACGATTATCCGACGAGAATTCTCGCTGAAAGTATCTCGAGAGTCGCGCTTCTGAAGCGGTAACACGAAACATCTCCCTTAACGGAAACGATAAAAGACCACCGGATACCTTTCAGGATAGATGACTGCTTCTCGAAAAGTTCTACTCGAACAATCGACGTAACGAGCCGCCGGTGGAATTCGCGGCCGTCGTCTTCTACCGCGGAAACGCGACGATACAAAAATCCGGAATCGCAGCAGGTGCTCGCGCGCGGAAAGATTGGATAAGTTGAATTGTTGTTGAATTGTTGTTGTCCTAAGCCGCACGTCATTGCGATCAGTCACGAGACATATCTCTCTCTTTCGTTCTCTTTCCTTTTATTTCCCTGGCGCGACCTGATATTAAAATGAAATCGGCGATACGTTATTTGCGTTCGCTCGAACCGCGCACGGCATAAAATCGACCCAACAACTGGAGATAGGATGGTAGAGGCAGCATGAAAAAGCGGCGGAAAAAGGGAAAAGAGGAGAGGGACACGCGGATTGACGAAGGAGCGAAGAGGAGCGGATTTCCGCTGAACTGATTAGAGCTCCGGGTCTCTTCGGGGAAGCCTCGCATTGGAATGGAATGGAATGCGCCGCACATCACGACACGGCATTGCAACCGTTCTCCAATTTCGACTTAGTGTTAGAATTTGATTTTCTCGAATTTCACGTGTCGGACTTCCATCTTGTTTGTATAATTTAAGTTATAAAACGAATCAATGATGAGTCTTTTTAGAAACAGCAAAATTTATAAGAATATGTGGTTTCTCATTATGAAACTTTTTTATGAAATTCTGAGAAGGAGAACTATAAAGTTTTGTATCACATAATATAATTCTGCACAGTTTTGGCAAAGTTATATTCACGTTTATGTATATTTTCATGCTTATTTATGCATCGCGAGTTGATTTTGACACGCGGCGATACCGATTCCGAGTATCTCGAGTTGCCAGAAACGAGAAGTGGGCCAAGGGATCGCTAACCTAACGGTTTTACGACAGCCGATATTTTGTTAATTTTCGAGGAGAAACGTAAAATTCAGGTAGAGAGACAGATGAGGACGAAAAAGA